TGCAGGAAATGATGGGGGGGGGGGGGGGGGGGAAGAGAACAAACTGTCCAATCTTTGTACAGACTGGATCTAGAACTTGGCCAAGCTGCCATATTTAGTTTCCCCAGAACATGTGGTGTGTACCCATTTCTCCCCACCTCAAGCACTTAGAGGTCTGGTGTCACAACACTTCACTGGCTTTTAGGACATCTTGTGCTGCCTGGGGCCCCGTTCCTCTTCAGACACACCTACCTCTGCAGTTTGCCACTGCCATGCTTGTGCAAGAAGGAGCAACATGGGGAAATTGATGTAACCAGTAGAATACTTGTGGTACTTTTGCAGCAAGCACATGGCTCTTCCCAATGCCATCTCCTTAAATTTCAGCAGATATAGCTACATTGAGGCTATACTGAGCTACCTGCACTTAGAGCTGAAGTCATGAGATATGATCTAGCACAGCATCCATCCCTAAGAAACTCCAAAGCAGGACTTCTAATGCCTAAAGTGTATTTAGGAAATTAGTCTGCAAACCACAGTGTAGGGTGGCACAGCCTCTCTTAACTGCAGAGACTTAGTCTGGATGTGTTTTCTGTCTCATTGGAAAAGTTTTGTACCCTAGGAGACAGCTTTGCCTGCCTGAAATGACACTTGCCAAGTTTTAGTATCAAGCCTGCTGGGTTGATCCATCGTGACATGACTCTAGATGCTTTTCATGTGTCTCAGGACCCTTTCCAAAACCACAGAAACGCCATCCAAGTTAATGCCAAGCTCTGGGCAGGTCATGTAGAAACACAGGCATTGCTCTTTGCAGAGCTCTGGGTGCTGACCCAGAGCACCTAAACAGGAGAATCTTACCAGGTGTAATTAACTCTCCATCTCTCAGTGACAGGCACTCTGTAGTTGAAAAGCAAAAGCCTTCTTTGGGGCAAGAAGAGGGATGTACTTTGAGGTGGTACCTGACTGCCAGTGACAACCCTGTGTTTGGCTTGCCCTAAGGAGAGATGCGTTTTATGCTTTTTACTGCTGTATGCACTCGTCCAAGACCCTCTCCCACCCACACCAGCGCGCCGGGGACCCGGACCCAGACCCTTATGCTGATGATGCAGGTTTTTGCCTGGCAGCGTGTTCCGGGAGGGAGCGGCCCGCGATGCCCCCGGCCCCGCCGCGCTCCCACGCACCGTGCGGAACAGCACCACGGTGTTCTCCGCGGCGCCGTAGTGCGACAGCACGGCCGCGCTGCTGCTGAGCCCGAACGGCACCTCCGCCACCTGTCCGGCCGCACGGCGAAACTGCTCCGCTTCGGGGCTCTGCGGGTCCTGCGGGCACAGCAGCGACGGTGAGGGACCGAGACAGAACCGGCACCGGCACCGGCACCGGCCGCGGCCGCGGGCGGACCGAGCGCGACACCTGCCGGCAGCTCGGTCCCCGCGGGAGCGGCCACTGCCGCAGCCTCGTGCGGATCAGGAACCCGCCAGGATGGTGCTGAGCCCCTGGGGACTCGCCAGAACATAGCTCGTTAAAACAAAACAAAACAAAACAAAACAAAACAAAACAAAACAAAACAAACAAATATATATAAATATACATGTGCATGTATATATAAGTGTGAGTTTCCAAAATATATACATATATAAAAACATCGCCATTTTAATGCTAACCTTGATTCTAGATTAAATTTTTAGCACCTTGCCTTATCAGTATCATGGCTCCTTTTAAAAGGACATCTTAGGTACATCCTGTAAAAAGTAGCTAATTCAGGTGCATCAGAGGATAGAAATGTGCGATTTCTCAGTATTTTGAGGTCCGTTCTCTTTCTTGCGGAGAGCAGTAACTACAGCTGTCCTTTGCCTGTATTAAAGCCTTCCTTGCTGTTCCCATTCCCAACTTTTTAGTGATGTATTTTTGATACTGCTATTTATTGGATGTAAATTCTCAAGACATGGTCTCTGCTTGGAAATTGGTTTGTTTTTCTTTTTAGTTTGAACTGTCAGCTCAGCTGTTTGTGAGCCCAGAGAGAATGGAAAACAAAATTCTTTGTTCGTCCAAAGAAAAACATCTCTCATGACCTGTTTTGGAAATGCCAGTGCATCAACTGCTCTGGTGAGAACGCTAAAGCCGAGGGTGGGAATAATCTCGCTGAGTTTTGGAGCATTCCTGGGAAACCTGGGGTTTAATCAGGCTGAGCACTGCCCTTTCTCAGAGACACGCGGGGTTTCTGGAGCAGTGTGCTGTGTTTCCATCACGGCATGCTGTTCCCAGTCAGGGGCGCCGTGCTCATTATACGGGAAGCTTGCCGAGCCACATTCTGCAGCGAACTGAGAGGCTGCAGCAGAGAAGTAATTCATGGTGAGCGGAGAACACGGGCTTTATTTGGATGAATATGCTTTCAGGCCGAGAGCCAAGCCTTCATGGCACACATACGTCTTTATCTGCTGTTCAAATGCAGCCCGGCCGCGCTTCAGGCACCGAGTGCCCGACATGTGGCTGCCCCGTGCTCCTGGCACTGGGGCTGCACGGCAGCAGCTCCGTCTGCCTCTGAAGAATGCAGTCCTGCAGAGGGAGGCCACAGTGGCACAGGACAGAAGGAGCCGTGTCCCTGCTGTAGCTCAGGAGGCGGCTCTGGGCACAGCCCTGCCGCAGGCCCAGCTGCTGCCCTCGGGGAAGGAGGCCTCGCAGGCCCAGCTGCTGCCCTCGGGGAAGGAGGCCTCGGCACTTTCGGCACTTCCGTTCTGCGTGTGCGGATTGCCTGCCTGCTTTGCACTGCAGCTTTAGCGCCGCAAGAGCAACCCCCAAGGAGCTCCAATCGCCTGCAGGCACCGACGTGGAGGCGGCTGGGGCTCTGTGATCAGCGCTTACAGGGCCCTGGGGCATCAGCCTCCTGCACTCACAGCTCACGGACTTGTTGCTGCCGCGCTGCACAGGCATCACCATCGGCCCTCACTCACTCTGCGGGTATCTGGGCTGGGAGATGCCACTGCCCTGCACCAAGAGCACGATGCCCTCCCTAGACTGTCCTCCAGCCCCAGGCACAGGGCAGGAGGAGGAAGGTGCTTGCAGAAGGATTTGGTTTTGAAAGTCTGAAGCCTTCTCTGACATGAGGCAGTGTGTGGACAGCAGAAGAGCAGAACAGAGCTCAAAGGAAACCTGGAAAAAGGTGCAACTTGGGGACTTAAAAGTGATAAGGATCCTGTTAAAGAGGCCTCTGTTTTACAGTGCTGTAGCCAATAAATGCTTTCCTTTTATTTTCTGAGGAAAAATACTCATGCCATTTGGGGGGGCAAGGGACTCATAGCTGTCACTCAGCTTTGAATTCAGTGAAATTTAGATAAAAAGAGACAGAGGTCTCAAGGGTATCTACTCCTACTCTGGGGAACAAAGAAGTGAAACAGAGACCATGCCTACATCCTCCCCACGAAGAGGCTTCAGCCTGAGCCCAAACTCTCAGACCTCAGTGGGCCTGCACTATCACTTCTCCCTGAGACTTGGCTTCCTCATCCCTGTCACACAGGCAGTGCTTTCCTCTGCCTTTGCTGACTACAGCGAATAACTGACATTCCCATTCACCCCTCACCAACACTGTTTCTCTACCATGTACATTTCTTTGTTCCTTCCCCTGCAGCATTTCCCTCTCTCCTGCTCCAGGGCTCCTACAACCTCCTTCATCTTCCTCCCTTGCTCCATCTCCTTTTCCATGCACAGACCAAATTCCCTGTGCTCTCTCTGTCACCCATCACCCAATCCCTCCACATGCCTGTCAGAGCCCCAGCACTGTGGGGACTTTTTGGGACAACAGCTGCTTTGGCAGGTGTTTACACCACATCCACCCTCATGCTCTCAGCAGGGTGGGATAGAGCCCACAACTGGCAGAGGGGAGGTGCTGTGAACACACCTGGAAGAATCCAATGACTGCCACCTCTGCACCACTGATGAAGGCTTCGGCATCTGGGATGTTGTCTAACAGGATGGGTTTGTCTGTGGTGCTGGCTGTGCCTGCAGAGCAAAGGTCAGGGTTGGGCAGAGTGTACACAAGGAGCAGCTCGAAGAGGATCCCCCCAACACACACACAAGCATCCCAACCTTACAGCTCTTACACAAGCATCACAACCTTACAACCCACACACCTCTCTTGCAAGCAGAACATGTTTGTACAGCATAAGGAGGACTCCCTGAAGCAGACCCACTTTCCCCAAGGCAGGAAGAAAGCTCACTTACTGTGGGATGCAGAGTCACTCCCTGCAGCACACCCTGCTGGGGAGCACCTGGCAAGCAGGGTGACAAAGAGGCACGGGAAGATGGATGTGCCCATGGCTCCAGCTCTCCTTCTCCTCGCCATGCCACCCTGCTCAGTCCTCTCCTCAGTGAGACACGTCAGCTGCTGTGGGGACCCACAGCCTTCCTGGGGCGGTGGGAAGGGAGCAGCTGGCCCAGGGCAAAGCCTCCAGCTCCTGAGATAAGTGCCTGGCTGGAGAAAGCCCCTCCCTGCAGTGCAGGAATCACTTGGAGAGCTGCACCAACACTGCCATGGTGTGCCCTCACCACAGCACTGGCATTGGCAGCCCTGCACCTTTGTGAGCAGACACCCCAGCTGGATCAAGAACAGCCCTCTCCAGGTGCTGGATCCCAGAGGCTGATGTTCCCTTGTGCCTGGCCAGCAGGCTGGCCACGAGGACGTGAGACTCTTGCATTAGCTCCGGGGAACAGCTGCTAGGGTAAGTGCTAAACATGAGAAGGGTATGTTACAGCTCCCTGGCTCACTCAGCAGCCATCTGGGATGAGAGGTGGGGGCTGTCCACCCCTGGAGTCTACCCCCATCACAGCCAGACTTTGGCTTCAAAGAATTAATGAAATCCCTGAAGGAAACTGTTCTGAAATAATTTGCTTATAGAGTAAGGCTGCTGCTTTGAAGGAGGAGGGCTATTTCCCTGCTGAAATATGCTCTTAAGCCTTCCTATACTGCATTCTCCACACACACATCACTGAGAAACATGGTCTAGAAAAGAATGTGACACTCATGCAGAAAAGAAGAAAGAAACTGGTTTTATTCTCAGACACTGAAGTCTTGTTACGGCATCTAGCTGCATTCCCCCTGACTGGCTTTGCCTGCACAAGGATGGATTTTAACAGGGTAGGGCACCAGACACAGACCAGGAGACCATCACGGGAGGTAAGTAACCCTTTACAATGAGTCAGAGCACATGGCAAGTGTAACTCAAGAGAGGGATTTTCCAGGGACCAGTCCACCCCTGCCAGGTGACCTTGTTTCCTCGAAAAGGCACTTCCAGGACTGGAGTTGGTATGGGAGAGATGGGGACAACAGGAGGAAGTACAGGGGGAGAGGGAGGGAGGTGCTTTCCCAATTTAACCCATTATGGTCATGATGGGGTGGTGGCTGGGTTGTTCTCAGTGTATCAGAAGAAGCAGCAAAGGCCTGGAGACTGGTGCAGGAGGCAAGGGGACGGGAAGGGGGAAGGCAAACTGGGTGAACTCATTCTGTCCATTCCTTCTTGATGGACAGGTTCCACTCCCAGGTGAGATGGTCGTGCTTGTCATCATCCGTGAAGAAGGATTTGTTGTGGTAGGTGCCTCGAGCCAGCATACCCTTGGGAGCCTCCTCAACGGGCGTCAGGAACTCGTACTCCTCTGGCCGTGGCCCGTAGCTGCCAACCATGAACGTGGCTTTGTCCACTAGGAGAAAACAATCCATAGGGAATAAGCCCCTCACATGGGGAATGATGAGGGAGAGAGCAAGCCATGAGCAAAAGAGCAGAAAGGAGATGGGGGAGAAAGGAACAGCCCATGTCAGCAAAGGAGAGCAAAATCAGGGGGAAAAGTGGGTTAGTGAAGCATAAGGACAGCTGGAAGCATAACACGGATGGATGGGCAGGTGATCAGGCAACTCAGTTTGTGCACTCTCACATGCATGTACTTGTCCTGGTTTGAGAGAAATTTGGGAGAAAGCTGAACATTCTGGCTGTGAGTACACCCAGCATATGGCTCAAGATCTACCTTGATTTCCCACTACTTCTCTCTACTGGTGAGAAGACACCAGCAATGTGTGCTGAAGAGGATGCGGAAGCCTCAGAGATGGTTGCACAAAAATGCATGTGGGGGGTGTGTGTGTGCAAAATGGGGCTTTCCTCTGCCTTGTCCAAGCCCAGCAGCACTGAGGAGAACCCATGGGCAAATACAGGGACACAATGGGAAGTTTCACAGAGCAGGTCTGAATTTTACCAAAGGCTTCTGAAGAGCTTTCAGAGGGTGGGAAGCTCCACACAGGCTGAGCCACTGCACAGGGGTGGAGGGGAGGAGAAGTTCTCTGTATGGAGAGGCAACCTGTGGCAAGCACTGTCCAAGCAGAGTCTCTGTGGACCTTGCTGCTGCAGACAGGGGTGCAGCATACAGACCCCAGAGCTGGCTCACACTGAGTGTGCACAGAACAAGGAACCACTGTCCTGGGTGAAGCAGGCACTCTGCTGAGAAGTCACCTCCTGAGTGTTAGCACAGGGTGGGACTTGGGACCAATGGGGCCTCTGCCCCAGCCCAGAGCTGCAGGACACTTGCTCCAGAGGAGGGACACAGAGGCAGGAGCAGTGCTGTGCAGGGCATGCAGGGCTCTTACTCACCCTTCACCCCTGTCCGGTAGGTGTGCTGCACGTATTTCAGTCCCGACACAATGTCCCTGTTTACCTGCAGGAAGGAACCAGAAGTGTCAGGAGAGGAGTTTTGGTTCTGTACCTGATGATTTTCCCCGTCCTGAAGGACATACCCATCTTGGCTCCCGACAGAAGGGAGCCTCAGCATAGGGCACATTGAACAGGTCCCTAAACAACTTCTCCATAGGTACCTGGAGACCTTTAGCATCCTCTGTGCAGCTCCTATACTTCCCTATCCTTTGCACACCTTTGAAGCTGACTGGAGCACACCAGTAAGGTTCTCAAGACATGCTGATGAGGACAAAGAAAAGTGAAGCAAGGGGTTCCTGTTTAATAATTTTCATACTGTAAACCATCATGGGTAACTAGAGTCATCCCTTCAGCCCCAATGGGTGGGCAGCTCCCAGGTGCTCTCTAAGCTCTATGGGGAGCTGGCAAGTTTCTTCTCAAAAGACAGAGGGACAGTTTTCATAAATCTTTTCTCAAATGTCCCATGGATAGCTTGGATGTATCCAGTGCTGCTCCTCCCCTCCAGCATACACTGCCTTCCCACAGTGTACACTACTCAATCTGAAAACGAGATTGACAGATCCTTTTACATTCCAGGGTAGAATTCCCACAGTACCAGCCCTTACCAGCCATGGAACTGAGGGAGGGAATTAGAATAACCTGTCTGGCTTCAGGTGTCTCCAGTCAACAAGGCACAGATACAGATGGAAATATTTCACAGCACAAAAGAAAGCTGGAGGTGTCTCAGGGGAGAGCATTGGGGGACATTCATCTCTGAGACAACAAGCCTCAAAGAAAAAGGGAAATCTGCCCTACAGATCCCACAGTATTAACATCTTCCCTCATCTGTCTCAGGAGAATTCTATTTCTTCCCTTTTTGCCTTCTCTTCCAAGCTCAGCTTTGAAGTAAGCACTTGCAGAGATGATCAGTTCAGTGCTGGATGCCACACTGCAGCGTGGCCAAGCTCCATTTTCAGCTGTAAACAGAAGAAATGGCTGACACACTGATTGATGGGAGTGAGGGTGAAATAAGCCCATTTAGGTATATCACAACCTGAAGAATTCAGGCATCTTCAGCCAAGTGCTACAATATTACATCTTCTTGATGTGTACATGAAGCCCAGTATCACTGACTGAATCAGTACTTCATGAATAGCCATTCTCTTCCTCTTCTCTCTTCTCTTCTCTTCTCTTCTCTTCTCTTCTCTTCTCTTCTCTTCTCTTCTCTTCTCTCCTCTCCTCTCCTCTCCTCTCCTCTCCTCCGTGTTAATTTCCATTTAGTGTGGAGTAAAGATTTTCCAGTGGCTAAAAAGCAAAACCAAACCCAGCCAAAACTACCCATCTGGCTTTTCAACCACTCATTTATCAGTGTGAGCAAACAGAAACCAACTTCCTCCAAGGGGTGAGCAAGCAGAAATGATTTCCTGGAAATACCTCATCCCTTGTTGGGTAGAACAACACCTGAAGCTAGGGGAGCTTTGCAAGTGCTCAGCTTTTGGGCAGGCATTCTGTCTGGCTCTGGTTATCTGACAGACTGCCACTGACCAGCCTTAGCAACTGATAAGAAGCAACTGGAAGGAAAACAACTCACTCTGAAGTGGATCTTAACTCTGTATTCCACCCCTTCCTTTAATACGAAGGTCTCTTTCTTGAGTGCTTCGAGGTCACCTGCAAGAAGAGAATCAAGGTGTCAGCTAGAGATGTCTCAGCAAGGAGAGACCAGGCACAGGGGGAAAGATGGGCATGGGGTTGCTGCCAGAGGTAAGCATCCCTTCAAAGGATGACACCTGTAAAATGAACATGCGGACATCCTTGTGAGATTGAGTTGTGTGACCAAACACACAGAAATTCCTGGGTGCTCGTATGTATCTGTGCCCACAGAAGATAATGCCTGAGCACACACAGGTCTGAGCACATGTACACAAAGATGCTTGTGCACAGGCTTGTTGCAGAGCAGATGCAGCAGTGTGTGTATGCTCCATCCATGCCCAGCCTGGCTTGGTGAGAGCTTGGTTCCACAGCTCCAGCCCAGCTTGGAAGGCTGCCCGGGCCCCACAGGGGTTTTGGGTGGTTTTGGGTGAACAGGAAGCCTCTCTGCCTCTCCAGGCCCAGCTTCCTCTCTCTGCAGAAAAGCCCTTATAAGGCTCTCTCCCCCTGCCCCCAGGAGCCGGAACTGCAGTATTGCTCGATTCTGAAGTTTCAATACAGCCTGCTACCCAAATGCATGCACATCCCCTGTGCTCATGAAGTTTCATTGAAAGGAAGCAAGCAGAGATGGCAAGAGAAACCCAGGAGCTCCTACAGCAGTCTAGATGAAGGAAAAAACCTCAATATTTTCCTCTGTTACATCTGCTTCTTTTTTATTTATATGTGTATACCTTAAAATAAGAAACAAGGCTAAGATGACTTCAGAGCTCCTCTAAAACCCACTATGGCATCCCAAGGACAAACTCTCTTTTGACTTGGAGCATGCCAGGGCCTTTGGTTGTTCCCCTCTGTGACCAAGGGCAGAGCCTGTGCCTACCTGTAAGGTCCATGGTGATGGGTCCTGGAGCAGAGTCACAAACCAGAGTGAGTCGGGTGACCACCACATTGGGAGCTGTTGGGTCTGCAGGTAGGAAAAGTCAGGGGGAAGCTGTCAGCTTGCAAAATTAGATGCAATCAGAGGGGAATGACACTGAAGAAACAGGGATGCCTTGCCACACAGAAACTGCATTTCATGAAACACCCAGTAATGCCAGGCTTCCTTAGCACAACAGGACCACATGTCTACCCAGTCCTTCTACATGGATGCCTCTGGCCTCCATCACAATGCCTAGAAGTGGTCTTTCCACCACGGAAAATTTCCTTCTTAGGATCATTCTGAGCAACAAGACCACCTTTCAGCATAGGCTGACCCCTTCAAAACCCCCAAAAGTCCTCTGAGACCCACACACCTCCCACCGCAAGTCATTTTCTGATGCCAGCACTCCCCAGTAATCCTCCTAACTCCTACCACTCTGAGCACCTTCTGTGCTTCCTTTATGTGTAACTTTCCAGCTGCCCATCCCCAGTCCTCCAGCACAAGCAGTGCATGTCCCTGGGCAAACAGGATCCCGCTTCTCTGAAGCAACAGCACACTGCTGCAGTACATCTCCCCAGTCCCTCCCTGCCAGTGTGCCCCAGCCTACCTACTACCACAGGTCCATCTCCCAGCAGGGACTTCTTGTACTTAGCGAGGCTTTCATCATCCTTGTCCAACTCCTGCAGCTCCTGCAGCGTTTTCTGCGGAGGAGGTTTGTAGTTGAGTTTCCCATCCAGCTCATCATCATCATCCTCCACATGAGGCTCCTGCGTCTTCTCAGTCATGGTGGCTTGGTCTGGGTGACAGAGGAGGGGGCAGTCAGAGAGATTGCTGTGGATTGGGAGTATGGGGGCACTCACAGTGTGGCTCAGTGCCCTGACAGGCAGGCACCCACCCAGCGCCGAAGGCAGCGGGATTCCTACAGGCAAATGGCGACGGCGATCGGCTGCAACCCAGACACTGCTGTGCTGATATTCTGGCTCCAACACGATCCCCCCTACCCCCGCTCCTCTCCCTGCAGGCTCCACGCGCACTCGCAGACCTACACCATTATTCGCTCCCAGGGAGGAGGTGCGGGAGCCGAGGCTGAAGCCAGAGTGATTTACAGCCACTCTGCAGCACAGTTGTGGTCGGCAACCCTGCAATTACAAGCCATCGTACAGGGCTCGCACAAAGAGCCACTGCCACACGCTGGAGCTCAAAGAAACACGAATAAAGCCAAGGACAGAGGTTTCGTCCACCCTCTCATAACGGGTTAAAATCCACATTTCACAGAAAGGTCGAATATCTGACAGCCACTTTCTTAGATTAGCAAATCAGCTGAAGCTCTCAAGGAAGCGGGCAGCAAAGTCTATCTGCTGGCATTGCCTGCGCTCCCACGAACAGCTCACTCCAGGCACCCAGCAGGAGCCCTTCCCACTGAGCAGGGAGCAGGATGGGAGCCCAGAGGAGCAGGCACAGCCGTGCTGCTCCAGCGGTGCCCTCGGAGGGAGAGGCAGGAGAGCTGAGCCGCAGTCAGCAGGGCTGGTCCTGAATGGCACACGGGCAGCGAAACTGCTGGGCTGGCAGCCCAAATGGAGCCAGAGCAGGGAAATAGCAACCAAGGGGCAGAGCATGGGATGGGGGACAGGAGGCAGGCAGGAGAGGTAAGCAGTGCTGTGCCAGGTGCCCCCAGTCAGCTGCCTGCCTCCAGGAGGCAGCCATATGGTCCCAGCCACCTTCCCACTCCTGGGAGAAAGGCTGAAAAACAGAGCAGTGCCCTGGTACAGCTGTCACACATGGGCAAGCCATTCCTTGGTCTATGGCAGCAAAAGGATTTGGTCAAGCTACACAGATCATTCAGTTCACTTCCACTCGGGCTTTTTTGAGACTGTTCCTACTAAAAAGTCCCCTTTTGCTTCCTTATTTGCAATTTTCCAAACAAATCATTTGTCCTTCTCTGCAGCTGTGGCCTTTGGGAGCCCCTGCTCCCAAAAGTTAAACTAGGAGCTAATGCGATAGTTTTTTCATTTATTAAAATAGAATAGAAACATAGACAAAAAATAATTTAAAAAGGAAAAAACATCTGTTTAAGGTGAATCATCAAGTGGTGCCAGGCAACTCTGAGTAGTATGCAGACCTCTCAGAGCAATTCCAGTGAAGGGAAGAAAAACAATCAAGGAGTGGTACATTGGCACGTTGCAAAGGGGACAGAAAAGAACTGACCAGCACACAAACAAGAAGATTCAGTCAGGTATTTTAATTGGAAATGGCCATTGCAAGACGACTTTGCAATTCTGTGGTGAATGAGAAACTAGTACAGAATGGGCACATGGGAAATAAAAGGGAATCTCAACCCAAACAAACAGGGAAAAAAAAACAGGTCCCAGCAGCTGAATAACCCTGGCTCAGTTCATGCCCAGACCTAGGAGTGTGAAATACCATAGGAAAGGCCCTTGAGCTTGTCCTCACGAGAAAGGAAACCAAAAGCTCCCTCCCTAAAGCAGCAATTACACATGCCCCAGCACTCTGTGGCCCCAGCAGAGTCAACTTAGAAAGCCTCACAATCCCCTCAGTGCCATTCCACGTTCAGCATGGGAGGAGGCTGTGGTTAGCCATGACAGCCAGTGCCAAGCCTTGCCTCCCACTTGGGCTCCAGCTGCACGCCTGAGCACTGACCTGAGCTCTCCACAACACCAGGCTGCATCTGCCACCAGCACGAGCACAGAGCACAGGTGCCTGCCCGCCCCCATCCTCCCATGCCCACCTCCTGTAGTTTATCACAGGGGATGGAAAGAGGCCTCTCTGCCCTCATGCAGAGAAAAGGCAGAGTCAGGACTGCATCTGCTGGCTGCTCCTCATCGCTCAAACCTTCCCTTTGCACCACACATGCCGCAGAGACTGTCCCTGCCAGCCCCCAGGGGTGGCTCACTTGAGGGGGAATGCTTTTAGGTTATGAACCTCCCAGAAAGGTGCACAGACAATCTGCCATGCCAACAGCAAGATCCTGCAGGGAACAGGACCAGCCAGACTGTCTGGGATGAACAACCTCTGGCTCACAGGCGCCTCAGGATGGCACCGATCAGACCAAGTTCTGGCATTTTTCCCCAAGCCATGGACCTGACGCTGCCTTCCTGCCAAACTCCAAGGCAGACGGTGACCAAGAGGAAAGCTCACATCTCAGCAGCTCCTGACCCTACTTGCTGGTGCCCTCTGCAAGCTGAGACACATTCCTGAGCTCAGGCGCCAGAGTCACCATGTTGCTGTGGGGGTTCCTGAGTTTCTGTGCCACTGCCCAGGCTAATACGGAGCCCCCATTCAGACCAAGAGCCTCACTAAATTGAGAAAATTAACCCTACACTGTTATATGCAAGGAGAAATCTATGTGCTTGGTGTCTTGCCCTGCCACATTTTTCTTGCCTTTCTGCAGCTCCAGCCCACGGTCCTGCGTCACCTGCACCCCTGAGGCCGGGCAGCACCCGTGAAACAGCAGGGAGGGGGCAAGGGCAGGGCTAGGGGTCCCTGGTAGCGAGAGATGGCTGCAGGAGGCAAAGACGGAATCATTCCTTGGCGAGAGGTGCGAGAGTCCCGCAGCTGGGCTCTGCCAGTGCCGCGGACAGACAGCTGCCCTCGCACCTGCAGCAGGAGGGGCAGTCACAAGGCGGAGGGTGGGCACCTGCTCGGCCCCCGTGCCTCCACGGGGCACAAAAAGGGCTGTCAGAGGGACAGCATTTCACTTGCCCTCCGTCTGCTCATCACTTCTCCAAACCACCCCCTGGCCGAGGGCTAATCTCCAGGAAGCGGGTTTAGCAGGGAGGAAGTAATTTTCCGCGATGGGGGAGAAGCGCACCGGACTCAGCAGCGCCCCCAGCCCCGGCCTCCCCATCCCAAGCCCCGGGGTACAGAGGGGAGCCCATTGCCCGGGGAGCGCCGGGCACAACCCGGGACCGCGGGGCCCTTCCCTTCCTTGCCCGGCCCCATGGCAGCGCGGAGCCCGGCTTCCCGCTCGGGTCGGGTCGGGCAGGGCTCTGCCGCCGCCCCGGGCAGGAGCGGGCACCGGCGCCAGCCCCGGAGCGGGGGCGCGGAGCAGCGCGGGGAGCGAGCCGGGGCCGCGCCGTCCGTGCCCCTGCCCCCGCCCGCCCCTCGCACTCACCGGCGGAGCGGCGCCTGCGGCCGGGGTCCTCCTCTGCTGTCAGCGCTCAGCCCCGAGCTCTGGCAGTTGGAGCAGGAAGGAAGTTGGTGAAGAGAGGAAAAAAAAAAAAATAACACTCAGACGCAGCGAAAAAAAAACAAAACCAAAAACACCCAAGAGCGGCGGCAGCAGCAGCCCACCCGCAGCAGAGGAAGCCCTGGCGGCCCCGCATGCTGCGGCGCTCCGCCGCCTGCCCCGCTTTGTCTGCGCCCGCTCCTTTTGCGCAGAGGTGCGCAGGGCTTTGTCTGCGGAGCGGAGCCCGGCCGGGGACGCGGGAGTGCTCGCCGTGCGCCGCTTCGGGCTGCTGTGCCCGGGAGCGAGGGGGGTGAGGGCTTTGTTTTCCTCCCCAGGCTTTTATTTTATTTTCCTGCTGTAATTATGGTCGGTTTCAAAAAGTGGCGCTGATTTATACCGATTAAAATATGCGGAGAATCGGGTTGTGTATTCCTGCGTACGTGGGAAGATAAGCAGTGTTGGAAATGGAGGTTCTTATGAACCTCATTTTTCCTGCTACCTGCTGCATTTAATCAGCTTATTGTTCCCAACTCCCAGCCCTTCTCACAGAAGCAGTTTCCAAGATCAGCTACCTTAGGAAGAAAAAGCTCTCATTTCCCAGGGTTGCTTAAATGATCGGAAAGATTTTACACCCCTTACTTTGTGAAATATCAGCAGATTTCCTCTTTCTTTGCCCCTCATGGAGTGCCCACTTAGTTCATCAGTCACATAAATCCCTCATGTACATAGTCCTTAGTGCACCACAAATTAGATCATTGGTTTGCAAACAACAAAACTGGGCCTGCAATGACTGATACACTGCTCTTGATGCATTTACAGCAGCAAAATAAGCAAAGCATATCTATTGCCAATGGGCTTAAATTCACTGCCCCAGATCCACATATCCATTAAAAGTGTTTATTGTACACAAATTTTTAAAGGTTGCAAACAACTGAGGGAAAGGGATCTTCTTCAGGGATTAACAGATCGCAGAACAGGGGGGATTGATTTTTCCAGCCAGATATTTCTTTCATTTAGGTTATGGGCAGCACAATGATCCTTGCCTCATGAATTTCAAGGCAAAAACAGAGCATATATCTGTCTGACAATGGATTCCCATTTATCAGGGGCTATAACCTCAGAAACATTTCAAGCTTCCATTAATTAGTTTCACCATCAAGAAAAATTATTTTATTCTCTGCCATTCCTTTTCACTGCTGCACTAACCCTTCCCTTGGGCCAACACAAGGGACCTGACTTGAATGCAGTAGTTAGATGAGTTCAAATGGTACCAGGGAAAAAACATGTAAGCAAATGTGTGAGATGTAAGCAAATGTGTGAGTATACATTGGTGAGTTTTCAACCCAGATAGGTTTCCCCACACTTGTTTATAATGGACAAATGGGACTAAGCCTTTATGCCAGTACCAGTGGCTGAGTGGGATGGGGATGAGGATGAGGAAAGAGCAGAGCAAATTCTTTCAACTACAGTGCCACTTTATGGCAGCTCATATTGTTCATGTAAGCAGTCCTGGCCTGGCAAAGCTGTGAAGAGTTGGATGTGTTTACTGTGGAAAGATTTGAGGAAGCCCCTGTGTCTTGTACAACAGTTTCTCATCTTGGTTTCTTTGCTAAGTCTCTGATTTCAGTTTAGAAACTGAACACAGTTTAGCTGGGAGGAGGTGTGAGTTGAGGTTCCTGTTCACTCATGGCTTGGTTTGAAACTCCCTTGGTTTTAGCCACTGTGTACAGTGCAACTGTAAGTAGTGTTATTGCAATCATTCTTGCTGAAGAACAGTTGAGATTAGCTTGGTCTCTTTTGTGGGCTTCTTTTTAGTTAAACACTAGAGTGCACGTGCCTTTGTGTAGCTATTTACACACTATTTCTAAACACATGTGAGCATAAATTAGGATCAGTTCATCCACAAATATGCATAAAGGTATAGGGATGTGTAGCTGTGTGCCACCATATGTATGTGCACTCAACCTACATGGCTTCATCTGCCTAGCATGCAGGGGAAACAGATTTTACTCCTAAATTAGAAATTAGTCAGCATGTAATCATGGGGACATCATGTAATTGCTCTGTGCCTCCTCTTCCTGCTCACAAGCAGTGTGAGAAGGAGCTGTAGGCATTGGAATCACACCATGCCAAGCAGATGGGAACCTAGAAGCCGGGCATGATCCTTTGGGTCAGCATATCCAGCATCCTGCTGGGGAACCACGTCACTGCTCTGCTGGAAGGAAGGAAAGGTTTGAACCACAATGGAGCAGGACATCACTGACAGCAAATCTCTGCCACTGAGTATTTCATCTGTGACAAACTGATGCCAGGCCATGAAGATCATCTCTTGGCAGACATTGCCCAACCCCAGCCAGTTCTTTTGTCTGTGACAGAAGGAGGCAGGGACAACTCCTAAAGTGTACCTGCTTTATTGCAAAAAACATGGTAAAATTTCAAATGTGTTCTTAGCTGGAAAATAATATTTTTTTACTTAAAATATTATGATTAGGTCTTATTTAGTTTTACCCCATTGATAACAGCTGATTGTACAATTAATACACCACAATAATACGTGTGATCAACCTCTAGTGTCTAAGTTTATTTCAAAATGTTTATGCAAAATTTTAAATGCATATCCTTCAATTACACAGCCTGTACTCCCAACAGTCATATATGTCTGTAGCACCCTATTGGAAACAATAAACCTTGACTTTTTTAAAAACAGTAAGATTTTAAAAAATCAGGCATTTTTTTCCTGTTTGAATTTGGATTGCTGCCATTAGGTATCCAGTATTTCTAGATTTGAACTTTTTGCAGTGATGGTGCATTGCAGCTTTGTGCTGCTTAATGTCATCTCCATCTTCTGTGGAACAGGTTGCTCACTGCATTTGAGGAACAGAGCTACTTTATGACCTTTAGAAGTGACTAATCCAGTAAAATTTTACCTGTTAGAATCTCTTATTTTCACCTGCTTGTAATTTCAAAAACTGTCTAATTTGGAGTTGAAATTTACCAGGCTGGAAGCTCTGAGGGGAAAAATAAAAATACATTTCAGTCCAGGTAGGGAATCCATGTTTGAAATTTTAAGTCTCAACAGAGTAATACCTTTAATGCTGCTCTTGTAAAACGATTTGTTTTGGAGCTACTAATTTGTATTTTCACTGAACTCAGTACACAGTTACTAACTATGATTTCTGTCTAGTGAATAATATTGCTGAATGCTGTCACTGTCATGAGTTTTGCCTCCTCCTCAAGCTTTTTACAGTCCCAGGAAGGGTACAGGTGACATGCTGGGAAGACGACCTCACAGTTCAGCAAGTTCACATCAGCAGGTGCAGCAAGGTGAGTGTCAGTTCTGGCCGTGGGTGCCCCCTAGATGGTGTCCCCAGATGGTGTCCCCAGATGGTGTCCCTCTCTGCAGGCAGAGATCCCTTCCCTGCAGGGATGGAGGAGGTAATCTGCTCCTGAGGCAGTCACGAGGGGATGGGAACGGGCAAGGTGACAGGTCCAGGAGCTCAGACAGGAGCTTTCCCTGCCTTGTGGGGAGCATTCACTGCACAACGAAGTGCCACCCAACTCTGGTAATCCCAGCACTGCCTTTTCTGACTCTCAGTTAAGTGGGATAAACAGGGTGATACAGCCAATGAAGCATGAATTCATCTCTGAGTAAAACACAGGCACAAGGTGCCCCTGGACCGGCTTTAGAAGTCAGCATTGAAGTCAGCATTTAGAAGTCAGCATTGTAAGGTTGATCCTGGTGTGCCTAGGAGAGGTGGTGCCTAATTTCTTCTTCCCTGGTGCTACTCACCCCTTCTAAAGTGCTGCAAAGGAGTGTGCAGCCCTTGGGGTGGGAAGGCAAGGAAGGGATGGAGGCTAGATAAAATGTCAGGCAGGGGAGCCAGCATGGAGGGCAAGGAGAGAGAAGGCATTTTGGGGTGTCAACACAAAGCCCCTGGTAAGGGTATAACTCGGTTTTCCAGCCCCAAGTCCCATGAGAATCCTTTCAAACCACCTAGCCACTGGACTTGAGGGCTCTCAGCTGGATGAAGAGCTGACCCCTGAAGACATGAGTGTGTGTTCCACCTCTTCAGCTCCTCTAGCAGCGATTTCTTTGAAAGATGGAGAGATTGGAGATTTAATACTTGTCTAAGCAGCTTTCAGGCTTGTTAAAGTGCTAATCCCATAACCCCTGTCACAAGCCTGAAGGTGTGCAAAGACTTCACATGTCACTTCACAATCCCCTGAGGAAGCAAGGGAAACAGGAAGACAGAGGAAGGAAAAGGATTTTGTGGGGGATGAGAGAGTAGGGGCAAAACTGAGCCGGTTTCCTTCAGAGTCTAGCCTGAGGAAGGCTGAGGATGGACAGAGCAGCTCAGTGAGGACAGAGAGGGAGAGCTAAATTGGTGGGAGGTGTGAGTGACAGCACAGGGGTTGGTGAAGGGAAGATGGTCCCTGTCACCCGGGGAGCCGGTGTGTCTTCTCTGCATCCCCTGCTCTCCAGAGCCTGACATGCAGGAAAGCAGCTTTTGCTCTCCATCCCTCACTTGGTGCCGTGGCAGAAGTCAGTGTTCTGCAGGTGAAGGTGTCCTAGAGAAGTCACCCACCAGAGCTGGATTTAAAAGGGTACTGGATTATTTTAGGGCCTCTCAGAAAACAGGTGGTTATGTAAGGTCAAATCTCAGCAAGTGTAATCAAATCTCAGTTCTAAGCTGATCACCAAGCAGGGTGTTAGGAGTTATTTATTCAAGCATTCCTCCCTGTGTTGTGACTTTCTTCTGAAACAGCCAGAGCTGAAGCTGGGACTAAATTAGGAGAGCTGTGGCATCCTTTCCTCCTCTGCTGACCTTGGGAAATCTCCCTTGCCAGCTGCGCCCTGACGTTCCTGTGCTAAACAGTACTCTCAACAAGGAACTTGATTGCATGCCAGAATTTATGGCTTCTAGTCAGGTTGTGTCCAGCCTCTGGCTAGCTCTTATGTGCCTTATATACCCTGTAGCTCAGGGCATGCTGCTTGCAGCTATATAGCATCTCTCAAAGCCACGAGACAATAATTACCAGCCTCTCTGTGGCAATGTTTTTCCTTTA